ATGTGACAGTGTGTGTATCTGTCAAGGTGTGTGTTTGTCCCAGTGTGTGCATCTGAGTGTGTGTATGTGTCAAGTCATGAGTGTATCTCTGTGTGTAAATGTCAGTATTAGAGTTGAGCGAACCCGAACTGTAAAGTTCGGGTTCGTACCGAACATTACGTTTCGGTGGCCCCCGGACCTGAACATGGACATATTACTGTATGTTCAGGTTGGAGTTCTGTGTTTGGCGATTTAATGGCGCGTTTTCAAAGGCTGCAGGGCAGCCAATCAACAAGCGTTTGACTCGTCTGCCCTTAGAAGCCACCACAGCCATGCCTACTAATGGTATGGCTGTGATTGGCCAGTGCAGCATGTGACCAAGCCTCTATATATATAAGCTGGAGTAGCGTAGCGCCGCAAGCACATGAGCTCTTATTAGTGTAGGGAGAGGATGCTGCCGCTGTGTGGGACAGCTTAGGAAAGAATTCTGCAAACTAGTACATTAGTGGGGTGCACTTCAAATCTGAGAGTCAAATAGAAGCTTCAAATATCGCGGTTACAGCAGAGTTTTAAAAAGTAAATTTTTTTGGTGCTAAATAGTACATTAGTGGGAGAGTACATTAGTGGGGTGCACTTCATATCTGAGAGTCAAGTAGAAGCGTCAAATACTGCTGTCACATTGCATTTTTAAAACGTAAAAATTTTTGGGTGCTAAACTGCTAAGAAGTATTTTAGTGGGGTGCACTTCATATCTGAGAGTCAAATAGAAGCATCTGGTAAACAGCACATTGGTAAACATTCTAATTATTTTGCTGCTAATCTGCTAAATAGTAAATTTTGGGGCGTGCACTTCATATCTGAGAGTGAAATATTAGCGTCTAATAGTGCGCTTACAGGGCAGTGGTAAACATTCTAATTGTTTTGGTGCTAATCTGCTGCTTGGAGTTTTAAAAAGTCTAATTTTTTTTTGGTGCTAAATAGTATATGTTTTAGAAAACTTTCATTATTTGTCTATCTACTCCTTTCTAAATTGATTGTGCGCATGTCTTCTGGAAGTAAATCACACCGGACACATTGCAGGTTTATGAAGAACTCCAGAGTAGCCTTTATTCCAGGGGGTGCAATTCCCTTTTAAAGCAGAAATACGTCATGTACAGAGTCACAGTTAACATACAGTATACATTCATCAATTGGTTAACAGTCTAAGGGGTCTTGTCTAAACCCACCCTACTGGGCATGACCCCAGCATCATCACATGACATTTCTTTGTATCCCAGCCCCATTCCAGCTCCATTTTACTACATGTGGCATGTTTCTATAGAGCTTTAGTTGCACAAAGGAAGTGGGGGAGGAGTTAGTAAAGGAAGCTGTTCCTTTAACACAGGAATTTGTTACACAAGGCTTGCTCGATTGGAAGGGGGGATGGGAGGAATTTGCAGAGGAAATAGCAGGATGGGAGGAATTTGCATAGGAAATAGTAACTGAACACATTGTGGGGGGGGGGGAGGGAATATTTACTCTAGCAGACAGTTTTAACATAGTGAACACAGAATAAATAGACATTAGTAAATAGCCATTTTATTTTAATTATTCTGTCCATAACATATATTTGAGGTGTTCACTTCATATCTAAGAGTCAAATCGAAGCGTCTAATAGTGTGCTTACAGCGCAGTTGTAAAAATTCTAATTGTTTTGCTGCTTATCTGCTAAATAGTACATTTGCGGCCTGCGGTGTACTACATATATGAGAGTCAAATCGAAGCATCTAATACAGTGCAGTGGTAAACATTCTTATTTTCTGGGTGCTAATCTGCTAAATAGTAAATTTTGTGGCCTGCTCTTCATATTTCAGAGTCAAATCGAAGCATCTAATATTGTGCTTACAGCGCAGTTGTAAAAATTCTAATTTTCTCGGTGCTAATCTGCTAAATAGTGACTGTCTGGGCAGAGTAGATGGGCCAAAAGGTTCTTATCTGCTGTCACATTCTATGTTTCTATGTCTGCCTGTGTGTGTGGCTGACTGTGTGTGTGTTTGTGTGTGGCTGTCTGTGTGTGGCTGTCTGCCTGTGTGTTTGTGTGTGGCTGTCAGCCTGTGTGTTTGTGTGTCGCTCTTTGCCTGCATGTTTGTGTGTGGCTCTCTGCGTGTGTGTTTGTGTGTGGCTGTCTGCATGTATGTTTGTGTGTGGCTGTCTGCCTCTGTGTGTGTGACTACCTATGTGTGACTGTCTGGGCATACTAGATGGGTCGAATGGTTCTTATCTGCCGTCACATTCTATGTTTCTATGTCTGTGTCTGTGTGTGGCTGTCTGCGTGTGTGTGTGTGTGGCAGGGTGTGTGAGAAGGGGGAACTGGAAGGGGGGGCACTGTTAAGATTTTTCGCACAGGGCTCCCAAAGACCTAAGGCCGGCCCTGGTCAAGGTGTGTGTATGTGTCACTTTGTGCATCTGAGTGTGTGTGTCAGTATCTGTATCTGAGTGCGTGTATCTGTGTGTATGTGTTTGTGTGTGTTTATGTCGGTATGTGTGTATCAGTGTGTTTGTGTGTGCCATTGTGTGTATCTGTGGGTCAATGTTTGTGTATGTGCCACTGTGTTTATCTGAATGTGTGTATGTGACAGTGTGTGTATCTGTCAAGGTGTGTGTTTGTCCCAGTGTGTGCATCTGAGTGTGTGTATGTGTCAAGTCATGAGTGTATCTCTGTGTGTAAATGTCAGTATTAGAGTTGAGCGAACCCGAACTGTAAAGTTCAGGTTCGTACCGAACATTACGTTTCGGTGGACCCCGGACCTGAACATGGACATATTACTGTATGTTCAGGTTGGAGTTCTGTGTTTGGCGATTTAATGGCGCGTTTTCAAAGGCTGCAGGGCAGCCAATCAACAAGCGTTTGACTCGTCTGCCCTTAGAAGCCACCACAGCCATGCCTACTAATGGTATGGCTGTGATTGGCCAGTGCAGCATGTGACCAAGCCTCTATATATATAAGCTGGAGTAGCGTAGCGCCGCAAGCACATGAGCTCTTATTAGTGTAGGGAGAGGATGCTGCCGCTGTGTGGGACAGCTTAGGAAAGAATTCTGCAAACTAGTACATTAGTGGGGTGCACTTCAAATCTGAGAGTCAAATAGAAGCTTCAAATATCGCGGTTACAGCAGAGTTTTAAAAAGTAAATTTTTTTGGTGCTAAATGGTACATTAGTGGGAGAGTACATTAGTGGGGTGCACTTCATATCTGAGAGTCAAGTAGAAGCGTCAAATACTGCTGTCACATTGCATTTTTAAAACGTAAAAATTTTTGGGTGCTAAACTGCTAAGAAGTATTTTAGTGGGGTGCACTTCATATCTGAGAGTCAAATAGAAGCATCTGGTAAACAGCACATTGGTAAACATTCTAATTATTTTGCTGCTAATCTGCTAAATAGTACATTTTGGGGCGTGCACTTCATATCTGAGAGTGAAATATTAGCGTCTAATAGTGCGCTTACAGGGCAGTGGTAAACATTCTAATTGTTTTGGTGCTAATCTGCTGCTTGGAGTTTTAAAAAGTCTAATTTTTTTTTGGTGCTAAATAGTATATGTTTTAGAAAACTTTCATTATTTGTCTATCTACTCCTTTCTAAATTGATTGTGCGCATGTCTTCTGGAAGTAAATCACACCGGACACATTGCAGGTTTATGAAGAACTCCAGAGTAGCCTTTATTCCAGGGGGTGCAATTCCCTTTTAAAGCAGAAATACGTCATGTACAGAGTCACAGTTAACATACAGTATACATTCATCAATTGGTTAACAGTCTAAGGGGTCTTGTCTAAACCCACCCTACTGGGCGTGACCCCAGCATCATCACATGACATTTCTTTGTATCCCAGCCCCATTCCAGCTCCATTTTACTACATGTGGCATGTTTCTATAGAGCTTTAGTTGCACAAAGGAAGTGGGGGAGGAGTTAGTAAAGGAAGCTGTTCCTTTAACACAGGAATTTGTTACACAAGGCTTGCTCGATTGGAAGGGGGGATGGGAGGAATTTGCAGAGGAAATAGCAGGATGGGAGGAATTTGCATAGGAAATAGTAACTGAACACATTGTGGGGGGGGGGGAGGGAATATTTACTCTAGCAGACAGTTTTAACATAGTGAACACAGAATAAATAGACATTAGTAAATAGCCATTTTATTTTAATTATTCTGTCCATAACATATATTTGAGGTGTTCACTTCATATCTAAGAGTCAAATCGAAGCGTCTAATAGTGTGCTTACAGCGCAGTTGTAAAAATTCTAATTGTTTTGCTGCTTATCTGCTAAATAGTACATTTGCGGCCTGCGGTGTACTACATATATGAGAGTCAAATCGAAGCATCTAATACAGTGCAGTGGTAAACATTCTTATTTTCTGGGTGCTAATCTGCTAAATAGTAAATTTTGTGGCCTGCTCTTCATATTTCAGAGTCAAATCGAAGCATCTAATATTGTGCTTACAGCGCAGTTGTAAAAATTCTAATTTTCTCGGTGCTAATCTGCTAAATAGTAAATTTTGGGCATGCTCTTCATATCTGAGAGTCAACTGGAAAGCGTCAAATACTGCGGATACAGAGCAATTTTAAACATTCTAATTTTTTGCTGCTAAACTGTTAAATAGTACATTTTGGGTATGCTCTTCATATCTGAGAGTCAAATAGAAGCGTCAAATACTGCTGTCACATTGCAGTTTTAAAACTTAAAAATTTTTGGGTGCTAAACTGCTAAATGGTATTTTAGTGGGGTGGACTTCATATCTGAGAGTCAAATTAAAGCGTCTAATACTGTGCTTACAGCGCAGTTGTAAAAATTCAAATTTTCTGGGTTCTAATATGCTAAATAGTACATTTTAGGGCCTGCTCTTCATATCTGAGAGTCAAATAGAAGCGTCAAATAGTGTGCTTACTGCGCAGTTGCAAACATTCCAATTGATCAGAGTTAAAGGATTTTAAGTGGACTCATTACAATTACAGGGCCTCTAAAGAGTCCTGCATTGTTATTTGTCGTCACTACCTTCCCGTGTCGGGAGTGGGTCATTTGCGCGCATGCTGCCTTTCTTGCATGTGGTAGCCGTTTGTCAGGGTCACTTTACGGAATCGAACCCTGATTCCCCATTACCCATGGTCACCATGGTAGGCGCAGTCAAGGGCATCGAAAGTTGATATGGATTGACGTTGTCGCCTTCTCGTTGGGGAGCACATTGACGAAGTGCTCTAGCATGATGAGCTGGGTGATCTCCTGCGGGAACTTGGCTTGATGGGAGTTGAGCCAGTTCTGGGTGGCCCTTAAGATGCCACGGTGTATACCCAGATATATCAGAGCTGCTGCAGAAAGTGCGGGCCGTCTGTGCGCACTTTTGACGTTCTCACCCTGCTGCTGCTTGCCTGTCTGCGCTGCAGCGTAACTTCGGCCTTCCCGCTCACCGTCTCATGAGACTGTGCGAGCAGAAGCAGGCGATAGTGGAGTTTCAGATGCAGCACGCATGGGTCAGTCGCTCTGTGGAACAGTTTTCTTTTTTTTTATATGTCCCAATAATTTGGAGGCTACCCCCAGTGGCATACACACAACCCATGGGGCCCCGGTGTGAAAACTGATCCGTGGGCCCCCCCCGCGCACTTACTTTGCGCGGGCTGGGGCCGCAACACATGGCGGCGGGCACCTGGTCGCAGGGGTCGCAGGGCTGCGGTATGTACACCAGTGCATGCAGGTACACATACACTTAAGGACCACTACAGACACCCAGATCACATCAGCTCAATGAAGTGGTCTGGGTGCCAGGTCCCTCTAGTTTTAACCCTGCAGCTGAAAACATAGCTATGTTTCACTGAGGGTTAAGCCAGCCTCTAGTGGCTGTCTAATTGACAGCCGCTAGAGGAGCTTCTGCAATTCTCACTGTGAAAATCACAGTGAGAAGACGCTGAACGTCCATTGGAAATCATTGAGTAATGACGGTATGGACGGTTTGAATGCGCGCGCGGCTCTTGAGAGGCGGATCAGGGCAGAGAGATCCCCAGCACCAAGGGAGTCCGGCGCTGGAGAAAGGTAAGTGCTTAAGACACACACACTCTCATGAACAGACGCATACACACTAGCTAACAGACACACATATTTACTGACAGACACACACGCATTGACAGACATACATACACAATCACTTATACTACAGATGCCCACAAACTAACACACTCAGTATCAGACACACACAGTAACACACTCACTGACACACTAGCACACACTCTCTAACACACACACACTAACACACACACACACTAACACACACTCTAACACACACTCTCTCTAACACACACACACTAACACACACTTTAAAAAAAAAATAAAAAAATTAATCCCCCCAGCCTCCCTACCTTTGGGGGTGCTGATGGGATACCTGGGGTCCAGTGGTGCTCCTGGGCGGCCGGTCCTGCAGGCTGGCTGGCAGGCGCGCGAGGGAGCACTGTCCCGTGAGTTACAGTGGGTACATACCGGGTTGCAGGGTAGCCAGGCCTCCTGGTGGGCTGGGCCCGGTCGCAGCGGCGACCCCTGCAACCTCAGTATGTATGCCACTGGCTACCCCAATTAAAATAAAAAATATATATATCTAAAAAACAGTGTTGGCTACCTCCTCCTCCACCGCCGCTTCCACCTACAACGCCACAGTCACCGCCTCCTCAACCTATGGGTCACTTAGAATAAACTATGTACACATTAGCAGAGGCTTGTGAAGGACTTTTCTCCATGCATCAGGAGTTGAGCATTTCTCCATGCATCAGGACTGCAAGAAATGCACCGCAGGCCACAAATGTTTCTTTTTTTTGTATGTCCCAATATTTTGTAGGCTACCACAATAAAAAAAAAAGGCCTTTTCTCCATGTATCAGGAGTTGAGCTCAGTTTGAACAATGAAAGAGAATACCCTGCACTTCAACCCTCTCTCAAATGGAAAATTCTGGTGATCCTCTTGACAGCCATGCTTTAGATTTTGATTTATGTTCTTCCAAAGCTAAAATCAAAGATTCCATCTAGTGCTATTTTATGGCTCAGCTGTATTTTTAATTTTTATGTTATTTTAAGTGATTTCCCTATCCACATTTGTTTGCAGGGCACTTGTCCTACTCTTACCCCCATGTTACTTCCTTTTGCAGCTCTGTAGCCCTTTCCAGGACATTTTTAGAGGCATTTTTGTGGCCAAAAGTTCGGGTCCCCATTGACTTCAATGTGGTTCAGGTTCAGGGTCAAGTTCGAGCAAGAACCCGGACTTTTTTCAAAGTTCGGCCGAACCCACCAGCCCTGAACATCCAGGTGTCCGCTCAACTCTAGTCAGTATGTCTAGATTAGTGTATTTGTATGTGCAGCAGTGTGTTTGGATGTGCCAGTGTGCGTATCTGAAGGTGTGTTACTGTGTGTATCTGAGTTTGTGTATGTATGTCAGTATGTGTGCATTGGTGTGTATGTGTATATGCCAGCATTTATCTGTGTGTCAAGGTCTGTGCATGTGTCAAAGTGTTCATCTTTGTGTCTGTGTGTATGTCAGTGTGTATATGTCAATGTTTTTTATGTATGTCTGTGTGTTAATAAGTTTGTGTATGTATGTACGTGGTAATGTATGTGCATACATCACAGCAATCAAACAACACAACATGCAAAGATACCCCTGCAAACTCAAACATTACATGCAAAAACATTCAAATGTCTAATTTATATACAAGCAGTCAAACACACACTTCACTCAAACACTAATACTACACACAAATGCAAGTTAGTCATATGGGTTTCTTCCTAATCATTTTGGATGGGTCAGTTAACATTTGAATTTAGTCTGATTTCACAGCTTGGTTGCTCATATCCTTTGGATATGTAAAGCCTCTTGTGAATTACGGCTTGGTGATTTCATTTCTGCTAGTTATTAACCCCTTGAGGACCGATGACTGTTCAGGACCTTCATCGGTAACATCCCCTTGAAGACCGGTGACAGTTGTGAACTGTCATCACGGAAAACGAGCGGCAGGAGCGATCAGAGATTGCTTCAGATGAAATCCCTCTGTTACTATCCGCCATGCAGATAGTAGCAGTCAATTACGCTGTAAGAGCAACACGCAATTGCTCACAATTGGCTGCTTTCAAAGTGGGTGTTACAAACACTCACTTTGACAGTGATCTCTGCCCCTCTCTCCTCTGTAGCATTTTGTAATGGGAGAGAGACAGAGATCAGATCGTGATAGTTTGTAACCAGTTTCTTCAAGTGTTGCCAAAGAGCCAGAACCTGTGAAAAAAGTAATACAATTCCTGTTTGCTCTTACTTGAGCACCAACCCTATCTGTTCTAGTCCAGCGTACTCCCAAACCATGTCTAGAACAAGATATGAGTTGCTGCTGAGATATTTACATTTTAATGACAATACCCTCTGTCACCTGTACTTGATCTGATATGCTGGGAATCTGACAATGGTATCTTCTGGCATTTTAGACTTCAGATGTGGGAGAGCAGGCCACAGGTTCGTAGCCATCTTGTGCCAATTTATGGCAATCTTTTATAGAGTGCCGCATCGGATCGATCAGTTTTAATTGTTTGGATGGTGCCATGGATGGGTGCCATCTGCTGTAGTATTGGTTTGTTGGCTTTTCAGAGTTTGAAAATGGCCTTTTATGTCCATGTTGGTCGGTTTGGATTTGGAACTCTCCCTTCGTGTTTTTTTTCTCCTCGACGGTCAGCCATGCCCTACCAAGCAGTTTTTGCTTGAATAAACATTAGCATAACAGATGTATATTTGAAATATGGGGTGTATAACTAGCATATAAATATATAACAAAACAGAAGTTTTATATAGAATTTGAGGTTACAAATAATCACATTTTAGAAACTTACAGAAGGTGTGACAATATTAAATAAATAAAAATGAGGCTGACAGGTATAAGAGACTTATAAGAGAACTCCATTTGCAACTTTACTGAAAGACGAGGAGGTGTCATTTCCAAGCAATTTGCAGATATTAAATTGGTGGAATGGGTTCTTGGCAGAGAAAGTCATTCCTCGCCAAGCTAGTAATCATTTCTGCACATATATACACATTTTTGATAGTGAAGAAACACATTCACAATTAGCATACATTTTCCAGCTGTGTACTTATTCATATCCAATTTCCAAGCATTTAAGATACTTGTTGCTCATATGGAGATTCTAGCCAGTCATGTACTATATATTTTTATTATCGAAAGACTCCTAACCTCCCTTTTTGCTCTACAATCTTTAAAATGCTAATTTTACAGACACCTCTTCTCATTCTACATGCCCACAACAGGGTTTTACATCATCCATTCTATTTAATTCTAAACATTATTTTATTCAGCCCTAAGGAAATAAAATAACTCAATGTCAATATAATTGCTTCCTAATCAGCAGACTGTGCTTTTCCCAGAAAGACTTTAATATGTATATATCACTCCTCAGGAGACAATTAACAATATATCTGTTACAGTAGCTGCTTATAATAGACAATGTGCAGCACCGTAATTTCTTGCTCAATGCAAATGAGTAAAAATGATGTTTGGAAATTGTTCTGAAACCAAGTGAATCAATTCCTCATGACATTAGTTTCTGCTATCCTAGCAAAAGTGACAAACTAAAATTGTACTACAGAGCTCAGAGCCAACTATAGGCTATTCAGCTGTGGAGAAAATGCAATATTTTGAAACTAAAGTAGAATAGGCTTGGCCAGCTACATTCTGGAGTTTTCATATCTATATTATTAGTTTAGCTCTGCTTATTGACTAGCTTGTCATGTTTGCTAATCCAGAAAGAGACCCAAAATAACAATTTGTCACTTAAATACTGTCTAAGAAATAAAGAGTATGCAGATTTTCCTCAGTGAGCAATATAGCTGATTGTTATTGTTATAAACCTACATTGCCCAACCTCTAAATGGAACCTATAAAAGGGACACTATATGTAGCCCGACCACTACATCTCAATGAAGTGTCCCTGCCCTTTTATCCCTGTGAAGACAAGTGCTGCAGTTAGGATAAATCACAGTGTTTTTTCCAAGGCTTACTCCACCTCTATTGGCTGTACTGCAAACAGCCACTAGGTGGGGCCTCATGGTTAGTAACTAAGTAAATCAAGGCAATTTGACATTAAATGTCCTCTGGTGTAAGTGTAAAATAAAAGAAACAATTGTGTGCAAAACAAAATATTCACAAGGGTAACGTGCATATTACAACTATCT